GAGTTTTGAAAATGCAATCTTGCTTGAGATTTGTTGCAGCTGCAAGTTTAAGTCTTTGGCTCAAGCTGATGCATAAACCAAGTGGCATGAATGACATAGAAGTGATTGAAGTGTGGCTAGGGAGTAGGAGGACTACTGCTGCAAGATTTCCATAAAATTTCTCTTTCTTCATTTGACTTCTTTGATTAAAATAATGCAACTTGCCTCCAACTTGCAATGTCCATCAAACCTCTTCATTTTCTGCATTTTCATTCATCATACTCTCTAAATATCATATAGAAACATGATCCAATGGCTGAGAATAGCTCAAGTGATCAAAAGGTGAGTTTGTGAAAAAGTGAAAATGTTGGACTCAAGTGTTGAAACCTCATCTTGTTGGATTCATAACTCCCAACTCATAAGGGATATGGAGGAGTTCTAGTAAATTTTTGAAATCCCTCATGAAGCTATACAACTTTCATGTTTTCATGATCTTCATATTCCAAATGGAACTAGGTCAAAAATCCACTCAAAGTTGCTAAAAAAACATGCCTAAAAAGGCCAATAACTTAGAATTTTTCTAAGTTATTTTTCCCTCTTGCAATGATTTTGGTCATAATTCCAAATCTATGCATTTTCTGCTCATGGACCACTGTGGGACTTTTGTAGGACTTGTCAAGAGCTTTGAACCAACTCAATTGGATGCGTGGTTAGGGAGTTAGGGTCTTCCCCCTTTCAAAACCCTAATTTCCCGATTTTTCGATTACTCCTCAATCCTTGATCCAATAGTCATGAAACTTCATGGATAGGTGCAATATGTTACTAGGAACATTTTTGCTTCATACTTTGAGGTTAAATTTATTATGATTGAAGAGTTGACTTTTCGGTCAACCGAACGATCGATCGATGACTACCGAGTCGACTGTTGATGTTCCGGGTCTTTTGAGGCCTTGAAACTTCTTGAATAGACTTCACTAATTCATATGAAGTTCATGGACCATGATCTAACCATTGGAGCACCATTTAAATCAAAATTCAAACTATAGTTGACTTTTCCTAATCGAAAACCCTAATCGGGTATCCTGAACTGCACTGTTCTTGATCCTTGGGTGACAACCTCAAATTGGATTCATACTTGATCCAATGGAGTATATCTGATGATGTAGAGATTTATTTCATGGAGAACCAATCCAATACGTTGACTGATTAACCATTGAAACCTCGATTCTCGGTTGTACGGAACCCTAATTCACCTGTATTTTAACAAAGACAAACTTGAAATGGGTTAAGGTTAGATAATCAAATGAATATGATCCTAAGATGATGATAATGAAGATATAAGGGGTCAAAATTTGGGGTGCAACAACCTTCATTGTCACAACCAGGTGTTATGTATACAACTTCTTTAGGAATGCAATTATAGCAAGACACCCTATGGTGTCTTTCAGCTCCTTTAAGGCATCCGATGAGTCAGCTCCCAAATAGTTCACCATCATATCCAGTGCATCTAGTCTGGTAATCTTATAGTGGTATAATAATTTTTCCCTGATCATAAGATATAGCAAGGATGACACATCATTAAGTGTGATGAACATTTCACCATGCGAAAGATGAAAAGTAATGTCTTTGAGTGCCATCTATCGACGAAAGCAGACAACATACCATAGTTAATAATAGTATATCTGACTATGCATAAATCCCACTGCCCAGATAGCTACATGGCATCATGAAATAGTTGCTCTTCAGGCTGTTGCAGCCTCACAATCTTCCTATCATGGTTGATGCATTTTAAAGCATCATAGTACTACAAAAAAATACATCATTGTCATAAATTTTGAATATTATAACACATGTTTTGAAGAATAAACACAAATACATTTGACCTCTTCGTCCCACACGGGCTTAGTAACATGGTTTGCATACAAAGGAAGCAATGAAGTTTCATATGAGCCTCATCCAAATTTCTTAAGAATGGCAATATTGACAATAAGTGCATTGACCTGGACTAGTGGGCCTTACAGAACATCAATAACAAGTGCAATAACTTGGACTAGTGGGCTTTGCGAAACATCATTAAGTGACATCTGCCTCCGGGAAGACGAAGTTCAAAACACCTGAACCCTATAAGTTGACGCTTATACGTCAAATAAACTCGCACCCACTAGTGTTTGTTATGGTCGAGATCTTTCCCTGTGAAAAAATGCATACTGGGACACTCTACAGTGCCTCAATCGTTATTGGTTGTCAACTATATTACTTATAACTAAACTAGATAAAATAAAAAAATAAAGCCCAAATGAAATACATTCAAAATCAAACCAAACAATGCAGACACATACTATAAAAGTGCAATTTTATTTCTAGAATGAAATTCTGAAAAAATATGGAAGTGCACATCTCTAGTTTCCCGCAACTCAGAAAACACAAAAATGGCAGAAATGTAAGGAAAAGAAAATGGTATAAAACGTATTTCTCATTAAAATACCTAATAATGAGTGTGACTACTTATATATTGATGTTTCTTACACAACCTAATATTCCTATTTCGTAATGCATGTAGAGAAAAAAATGCTCGAATTGAAAAAACTTACCAAATGTGTAGTCGATGTTGAATCACTTGGATTCAATAGATGTTAAGAAGTAATTGATAAATCACATTGATTGAATGAATTAGAAAAACCACTTGGACTGAACAGAGTAAAAAATTCACCTGAAAAGAGAAGCTTGAGATGTGATTGAAAGTGATTTTGTTGGAAATGAGGAAGGGGGAAAGTCTGGCGCGTATTTGACTCAAACCTTATCCAAAGGTATATTTTCGTAAGTTGTTAAAGAGATGCATATTCATATTATTATTTTTTCCAAATTAAGGGTGTGACTCACTTACAATTGGATGAAAATTGATATGTGGTGCATGAGCACCACTAAGGGTGTGGGAAAAATAAGGGAATTTCTTTTCCCACCTTTAGGGTGTGGCTCACACCACTAAAAACCTCAAATTTGCCCTCCGGTGTTTTCGGGAGATGCATCTTTGGGTGTACCTTAAAGCACCTATCCTTCGTAAATTAAGCAATCACCTTTTTTATTTTATTTTAAAATTTGTCCAAAGATGCATCTCTGAAACTTTCTAGGGTGTATATGGAGATGTATCTTCAAAAACAACCTTGAACCCTCGTTTACTTTGCATTTTTCATTGACCTGATTTACTTAATCATTCAGTGTCATTTTCAAAAATGCATCTTCGAAAATGTCACGCGGGAAATTGAATATATCACCATATTACATGATCATCTCTTTCACATTCAATATCACTTCCATAACCTAAAAAACTTTTAAAAAAAATCATTCACAACCATCTTTTTTACTCCAAATCACCATTCTTCTGTTTTATCACACCAAAGAGAGCAAAATAAGCTTCAATTTAAGTTAAAGTTCACGTATTTTATCCCTAATTTCTTACATTAATCTTTTCTTTGAGCTAAAAAATGAATGTTGAGTTTGGATGTGCATATTCGAATTTATCTGGTCATGTTTCGAATGTGCATATTCGAATTTTCCTACTACTGTGAGATTTTTAAACCGTTTTTCTGTTTTGGTTCATATTAGATATGGTGCACCCGAATATATTTTCCAATGGTGTTGTAAGCAATGATGTAAAATCAAATGTAGTGATGGTGTCATCAACGATGTAATCTTGATACGATTTAATACATAAGTAATATATATTTAGCAATGACGTTGTAAGTATCGACTATTTTAGTTTACAAATTTTATGGTATATATATGTTTTACACTAAATTAAAAAAAAAACACAACAGGGCAGTTTACGGATGTGCATATCCCTAAACACAATTTTTTCATAAAAAATAGGGTTTATTCAGAGATGCATATGCGAAGAGATCCCCAATGACAATATAAGGTTTCTAAGGTCCAATGTGACCCAAAACTTATATAAATAAGGTGTCTTTCATCCCATTATTTCTACAAAATACACCACAACCAGATAATGAATGCATATCCCCACCTTCTATTTGTGTATTTCAATGGCGCGAAGCCTCCATTTCAATTTAGGATCATCGATGACACGCCTCTCGTCGAACTGATATCTAAACTAAATACTCTCATGCGATATTAAAAAAATCGGAGAGTTGTCAAGTTCGAGTATTGTTCACTCCCGTTTGAGAGCAAATAGAAGATACATTTCACCAATTTTGAACCGATGAAAATGAAAATGTAAAGGTCACGTGGAGTACATTTATCGTTACACATCAAAGTGTCTGATTGAAATGGATGCGAATATTGTAAGATCTGTCGACGATATTATCAATATTTTGCAACATCCTGAACTATCCGTTTATAACAATATTTAATGTTAAATTTATGTTAACACCTATATATGTAATGTTGAGTGTTTTAATTTAATCTAAAAAAACATTTTTTAGATTTTACTCATACGGTCTTTTTTTTTTTTTTTGAAGTATCAGGGTAATTTTAAGATATATATCTCCGAATTATATCAAATATATTTTCGGAGATGCAACTTCAAATTAAAATTAAATATAATAAGGATGACTTACTTGTTTACATTCAATTTTACGATAAATAAATGCGTTCGAAGGTATATTTTCGAATTCTTAAAATATTTTTGAATTTTCATCAAGGATTTGTGAGAAGGTAGAGAGATAGGAAAATAAATTCCTAAAAATAAGATGGGCCAACAAACTAAGCCCAATAAGTATACCTACTGCCCTTCCCTAAAAGAAAAAAAAAAAAAAAAAACCCATCCCGCAGATCTCGTCATCGGCTACGAAGAAGAGCTCATTATCGTTCTCTCTCACCTTCGTAAGCTTCTCTCACATCAATTCCTTCGTTTTCAGCTGCAATAACCTTTATAATAAACCTTTCGTTTGACTTAACTGTGTTTGAGATAGTATCTGCGTTTGCGTGTAAGTTGCAACAATGTGTATTTGATTTCGATTTCGTTTTCGTTTTTTGTAGGTTTAATTTCATCAGAGGCATTCAACATGTGCCGGCAAAATTCTCCGGTGCATAATTCCGCTGAAGAAGCAATTGCAGCTGATGAGAGTCTTTTGATTTATTGCAAGCCTGTTGAATACTACAATATTATCTACCGTCGTTTTCTTCACAATGTAAATTATATTTTGTTGTTCTGTATCTATGTATTGATTCTGTACTCTAATTGGAGTCTATTACTTTTTTATTCTCATTAATTATGTGCCATAAACACCATTTATTGTTTGTTATGGCACTTAGGATACTGAAAATGATTTGGTTTACTTAACCGGATTAGTTATTATGGTGAGCTGAGCTTGCTATCTGTGTAGCACCAATACCTTTGAAAAAGACGTGTCCGCGTCGGTTTTCAAAACCAACACTGACTCTTGTGATTATGTTTAATTTATTATATTTTTAAAAATATTATTAATGGTGTCAGTGTGTCAATGTTGGTGTTGCGTTTCCGGTGTCCGTAACTGAATGCCTAGATGAAGTATAGCTGGCTGATTTTTTCTGTTTGTTGAACATTTGAGGGGTGTTAAGCTTTTGTTCTAGGTTTGAATGTTGCTCTTAAAAATTGAAGTTAACATAGATTCAACATTTATTATTATTAGATTAAATTAGATTTGAATGAAAATCTATTGATTGATGATACTACTTGGTTGGATTTCATTTCTTTTGCAGCCTAGTTTTAGGAAGAAATGTTTGAGTTATAAAATCAAAGCAAGGCGAAATAGGAGGTAAATCTTTCAATTATTATATGCATGTATTATTTCATTTATTTTTAGTTTCATCATTCCATTTGTTGGAGTACATTACTCTTTCTACCATTTCTTTATTTACTGCTAATTTATTAACTCAACATAATTTTTAAGAGTTGTGCTGCTGGACTTTAATTGTCTGGGGATTCATGTGAGGCAAGGCAAAAAATCTCTGTCTTATTTATTTTATTTTTTTTGAGAAAAAAGAATACCCGTTAAGTAAAAGAGGAATTTGATTTGTGATGATTGGGAATCTTACTGAAAGAGTAACAAGGAATAAAAGAAAAAAAATTATATAATTCATCAGTTCAAGAGAGAAACTAGCCCCTTTGCTTATTAAAAAAAGAATCACAATTTTCAGATATTTATCTTATGTGATATGCATTGTTTCATTAAGGAGCTGTAGGTGTTGAGGCAACAAACTCAAAAAAGCATATGGCTCACTGAAGAAAGGTGTTACTGTTAACATTAAGTAAAAAAGAAAGCATAACATTCTTTGGTTATTTTGCTTTAATTTTTTTACACAAACTAATTACTCAAGCATGTTATTCATGGTAAAAATAAAACAATAAGATGGTCTATTTACAAAATCTTGGACTGCATATTGCATTTTGTGCCTAGTCTAGACAGAATCAAATAGTTCTTTAACATGATGTCTTTTTAACCCCTATTAGTACCACGGTTAGAAAGCTAGATGATTGTATTAGAAGGAAATTTTACTGCTATCAATATGCGCATGACATTAATGAAATGCATCACTTGAACTGTGAAGGGCATGCCTAATGTATACCAGTGGCATGCACCACACCAAAGGGTCAACTCGTTTACTAGTGTGGTGCTGATTGCTTGTGGTGCACTGGTGCCCACTTGAGTGCCTTGTTTGTTCCTTTTGGTGCCTTGGACTCCATTGACAAGTGATTAGTATGCAATTGTTGACAAGTGATCTGCGTAAGAAATTGTCTTTTTTATGAGCAACTAAACCAAACTGCAAAAATAGATGGATACGTTTTTTTGAGGGGAACAGCCTATGCTGATTAATATTTCAATACTTTTGGCGAGTGGATTGATTCCTAGTTTAAGTAATCTGCACCTAATGTCTTTTTTCAAAATTTATGTTCAACAACTGGTAATTCTTTTGCATGTTTGTTGGAGTAACGATTAACAAATGAGTTGTTCTGCTATGTGTATCTTGAAGGTTGCGAGCAGGAATTGTGATTTTCAACTATAGGGACTGTTACAACATGCTTCGAAAGACTGAAGGTACATTATATCATCTATCTAATTATTATTCACTATGTTCAACCGTCTATCTTACTCTTACCACTGCCTTCTTATGATGAGTAAATTTTTTTAGAGCAATCAAACTAGTCCACATTTTGCCAGAGATGCTTAGGGCTGATAATTTTCGAGTGCAGTACTGTACTACTGTTTATCTACCTTTAATTTGTACATATAAGATTTTGTAAATGTTACTCTATTGAGCTGTCATTTTTTTTTGCTCCTTTATATTTATTTTTAGTGTTCTGTCATTTTATTCTCTCTTGTGATAATTTTTTTCATATAAAAAATGATTTTGTCAGTACTGATACATTTCCTGTCTCCTTCCAAATGTAGTGACTGAAGATTTTTCTTGTCCATTTTGCTTAATGCAGTGTGCGAGCTCTAAGGTATATGCTGTGATTTGTACTATAGTATTTGCTTGTTTCTTTCATAATTTAATATTCGAAAACTATTTTTCACGGAAAAACGGATGAGTCTATGTAGTTTGTGATCGGTTCTACGATGTTGATAATTAATTTTTATTAAACTGGTTTGTCATATTGATGTTAGCTAAAAGTGAGTTGAATTAAAGTGTTATATTTATGTTTGGATATATTTACGGTGAATTGAATTACACATTTGAGGCTAAAATAAAATGCATACAATTGATCACTTTAAGAGTCTAGCATCTCTTTGTTAGCAAGGAAAGTTAACACAAATTTTAAGAAATGAAAATTGATTATGTTTTCACAAAATAAACGGGGCCAAAGTTTCTCATTTTCTCAAAATCAATAGTTTGATTTTCCATTTTCTTTGCCAAATTTATTAACCTTGGTTTATTTCTGCAGGGCTTGCGTTTACATCTTTGTGCATCACATGATCTGTTCAACTTTGAGTTTTGGGTTAGCAGCTGTACCTATAAAATCAACTATTAAATATTTGATTTATTCTAAATGGTTTTTAAACTAGTTCTATTTTATAGGTTACCGATGATTACCAAGCAGTGAACGTCTCTGTGAAAATTGACATATTGAGATCCGAGGTCAGAACCTTCTGAAATTGGATTTGTGGTTAAATGCATTATTTTGCTAGGGATTGTAAGTTGTATTTAGTTACCGTTGAATGTTGATTACATTCAGAAGTAACTCACTGGTACTATTTAAAAACTAAGAGCTAGCCTAGTAATACGTTGTTTTTTCCTTGTATGATTAACAGAGGTGTTGTCTTCCTATTCCTAATGACTTCATACAAGATGTATCCCATAGAGTCTTGTTTCTGCAGTGATTATCATAAAAATGCTGAGGGTAGTTTAGCTTTATTGAAGCTGTTTAGGTTTATGGGTGTATTGATGATGAAATGCTATAATGTGTCCTATAATTAAAGAACATCTTTTTATGGTATCAATTTCCACTGCCATAGGGAAGTGACTCTGACCTTAATATGGATCTATATCTCATGCCAGGATCAGATGCAGATCATGTTTATCTTGTCCCCCTTTTTTTTTTTTGCTGCTGCAAAATGTGTCAGTTGCCCGATGTATTGCTATAGGTGTGTTAGGCAAAGGCTGAACAAAGCATGCAGGTTTAAAGATGATCTAGCACTAGTCTGTCATGCCTGGAACCTTTCAACAGAATATGTCTCAAATGTGTCGTCATGTTACTAAGATTGACCAATGAAACGTCCTTTTTGAATGACTACAGACTACTTGATTGGATTCTTCATTTAAAGTGTGTGATTTGGTTTTGTCAATTATTTAATTTGTTGACATGACATGTATGACATTTATTTTCGCGCAGAATGTTGCTGATGGAGTAACTCCACAATCAGAAACATTCTTCTTCTGGTTAGTTGTTTATATCAAAGCAGTCACTGATCAATTTTTTATTTTATTTTTAAGACTATCGACTCTTAAGTTATTTAACAAACTGTACAGTTCAAGACCTCTAAAACGCCGCAGAGAAAAAGACTCTGTTCAAAATGGGAAGCACGCCAATGTAAAGTTCCTGAAGTTGGATTCACCAGAAGGCACACAGAACGGGATACCACAGAAAAACAATGGTATCAACTATTTTTTGCCTGCTATAAGTATAAAAGAAACAATTTCAAAGACAATATAACGACATTATTTTGGGGTCTAAAGCACATTAAATTGGCTATGATGCAATGCATTGATATTCCTTTATTGTAGCAGATAGGGGAGGACGAATACCCACTCTTTTTTTCAAGTTTGTTAATTAAAAGTAATGTTAAACAATTCATTGCTCATATATTCTTTGTGAAATGGACTGAAATTCCAAAATTATTTGTAGATATCCTGTCCCACAACGGGGAGAATATGTCTAGAGCATCTCACACTGATTTGCAAAATGAAGGAAATGGCGGGGTAAAGTTTGGTCCTGATCATCCTAGCACCACGGATCACCTGGAACATGTTGATTCTAGTGTTAACATTACAGGTGTTTCAATTGCCATGCCCCAATCTTCTGAGGACCCTGAATGTGGCAAATCAATACATAGAAGTGATCCTGCTTTGCCTACTAAAGCAAAGAAATTAAATGCGGACCGCTCAGACTCAAAGAAGTATGTTGACTATGTTCACGAAACTTTGTTTCTTATCTTGTATTTTTTGAAGATCTAAGCTTCAGCTTTAAATGAATTTATCATATTCGACTATGGGCCTATTTGTTTCAGCTTTAAAAAAATGGATTTTTCTTTATATTTTCGAAAATAGATTTTACAAAACCGTTTTTCAAAATATTATAAGTTTTTTTATATTTGTATTTTCTAAATTGAAAGATTAATTTTGACATCCTATAATATAAACATACATTTTTGAAGATCAAAAGATAGTCGAGATCGCAATTTTTTCAAAAAGTTGTATCTCAAAAATGATTATTATGAAAATCTATTTGAAATAGTTTCAAAATTAAGTGATTTTTTGAAATTTTTATATCCAAAAAAAGTTTCAATAAAATGATGAAATATCTAAAATAGCTATTTTAAGAATAACTATTCAAACCAAATTTTCATTTGAAGCTTTTATGAAAAGTTTGTAAAATTTTTTTACACAATTATATTACACTATAAAAATCATTTTAAAAAAAAGCCAAAACAAATGGGCCTTATATTTTAAATTCTCTTTTATTTAATTTATTTACATTATTGTTTAGCTGTTCATTTAATGAAATATAAATAGTTTCTACCAATGTCTTAATAACCTGACTGGGAATCAGACCTACAAAACCTATGGGCTAGTTCAATCGGTTCAACCTCGAAATGTAATTAGTTTCTACCAATGGTTAAAAGAAAAACGGTAAAACCTACTGTGGTTCAATTAAGTTCATTTATACTATTGTTCAAATGGTTGAGCTGACCGGTTTAGTACAGTTCTTAAACATTGGTTTCAGTATCACATGCATATGGGTGGTACGTGTAGTTGCTGATAGATGTAGTAATTTTTCAAGCATCATGTTGTATTGGTTTAAATTAATTTTTTTTTTTTGATATTTGTTGATAATACAAAGCCAAATGCCTCTTTGGATTGTACAATTTGTGTATTCTGTATTAAGTTCCTGTCAGCCATGTTCTGTGATTGAAGTTTTGTATTGTTGCATCATCATTTTATTTTGAATCTTATGAAGTCCTGATATGAGCATTTTGTTTCATTTTTCAAAATTGTTTCTCCAGTCGAATCCTCCTGCAGAAGAGGCAGTTCTTTCACTCACATAGAGTTCAGGTATTTGATTATCTTAGATCTCTCTGATTTTGTATTCACTTATTGTGCCTCATAACATGCTTGGTGCATGGATCATTTTATGGAGAAGTTAATTTCTACAACTGATGAATTACTGGTTCTTTTGATTTTATAGCTGTAGAGAGAGACCCCTTCCTTCTTTTTTTTTGTTCAACATCCCTTGTGGATTTAATGCTATACTACTGATTATGCTCATTTTGTAGTTTCCAATTACTACTAGCTTTTAAGATTCAATTTTATCTCTAACAAACAAGAGCAAGTAGGGTCAATGTTTACTGAAGAACTACTGGTTTGCCATCTTTGGAATTAATAAGATAACATAATATATGAATTAATCCATACGGTTTGCATATTGTCTGGCTTTAACACTTTTTATATCGATTAATAAGATAATAAATTTGATATGTTTCTAAGTCCATCTATTATTTTGTTGTGTATTAATTGAAGCCCATGGCACCAGAACAAGTGGTATCAGATCGTGATAGTGAAGATGAAGTGGATGATGCAGTTGCTAACCTGGAAGATAGAAGGGTAGGCTTAAAATATATTTCAAAACCTTGTTTTTCCTCTTTTACATATTTCAAAACTGTTGTTTATTGTTGAACCGTGATGTTGCAGATGCTTGATGATTTTGTGGATGTTTCCAAAGATGAAAAGGAGTTCATGAATCTCTGGAACTCTTTTATGAAGAAACAAAGGTGTCCACTGATGGCCACTGTTAATATTTTACTTTTGTTTCTTTTCCCCTTTAACAATATTATGATTTACTAGTTTACTTGCTGTTGCAGGATGAGTAAACCAAATGTTATGTATCATGTGTATGATTATTGTTGATTAATTGTGTTTTAACTGTGGTGTAGGGTACTGGCTGATGGTCATATGCCGTGGGCTTGTGAGGCATTTTCGAAGCATTATGCAGAAGAGCTGATCTCATCCCGAGCTTTACATTGGTACTCATTCTGTTCTTTTCTTCCACTATCAGTTCTTTAAGTTCCGTAGTTTCCCTGCTAAAACGATTTCTTCTGAAGGATTCTGTAGTTTTTGCTTGCTGCATATCTATCTCATCTTATTTATATATTAAAAAAACTGTTTTTGAAATATTCTAATATTCAGGTGTTGGACATTATTCATGATCAAACTTTGGAATCATGGTCTTCTTGATGCCTGCACAATGAACAACTGCAGTTCATTATTAGAGCGCTTCAAAAACGGGGGATCGGATACCGTCACAAATTGAAGACAAACTGACTCAACCAAAACAATATACAGTTTTCCCTGTCTTGTACTTTTATTAAGTTGTACAATATTAGTCATATTTACGGTGTATGCAACTAAAATATGGGGGGTTGGGGTGGTGGGAGGTCTCATTCAGGTATGTTTCTTACTGAGTTACATATCTCGTAAATTATAAAAGACCAAAAAATGCTCTTTAAAATAAATATAAACATGTATAAAGCACTCAAGTTTTATAATATCTGCTTTTGAAAAAAGTTGTTACATCATACAATTTTTCAGAGTTTTATAATGTTGTCTTCTTCACGTTATTAGTTTTTTTTTTGTTTTTTTTTTTCTATTTTTAAAAAGTAGATTTTATAAAATAGTTTTTTTAGGTTGATCTCAAAAACTAAACTCTATCTTTTAAAGGTATCGCATCCTTACGAATATAAATGATCAACACGAACACTTCCAAAAGTATTTTTTTCACAAGTAAAATTTCATTTAGTAACTATGGCAATTTCAGTATTTTTTTTACAAGTAAAACTTCATTTAGTAGCACTAAGGTCATTTAGTGGCACTAAGGAAATGAATAGAGAATATTTTTCAAGAGGAGAGGAAGAATTAAATTTCAATGAAATATGAAAACAAGGCAAAGTGGTGTGATATGAAGTGGGGAAATCCTCCTTTATATAGTAGTTGAAAATGCAAAGAAAGGAAACGATTTATAGATTGAATTGGTTATCTAATTGATTAGCAAAACACTCTAATCGATTAGATAGTTCAAATATAATCGATTGTAAAGTCCAATTAGAAAAGTTTGGATATATAGCTATTGTAGGTTATTAATGTGCTATACTTTCTAATTGTATAATCGATTATCATTCTTCTAATCGATTGTACAAGTGTCCTAATTGATTGGATAAATAAAAAAGTTTTGTTAATCGATTGATACATCTTTCCAATCGATTAGATTGTTAAGAAGATGTTTGGATAACTTTTTAATAACTTGGTCTCGATTTAGAAAATTATTTCTAAGGTAAAAAAATATTTTAAAGTGTGTGTGAGTTGTCTTAGTACTCGTAAACTACTACCTTACTTTTACAATACTCAGTTCACTTCGATAGACAAGCATACATGACCTGATGAGTTTTTACATCTTTCATATATAATAGCTTCAAGTAAACTTCGATAGACAAACATATATGACCTGATGAGTTTTCACATCTTTCATATATAGTAGCTTCAAGAGTTTAATGGATAGTATTTGAATGTATAAGCACTTGATCTTGAGTTCTCTTATAAGATGCTTTGGTTATTATCAATGTTGAAGGATATTGTCATGTGTCATCATCCTCAAAATCACAAATGCTGATTTTTTATTATCTGTAAGCACATACATTCACATTCTCTCCCTTTTTTATGATGACAATACATCTCTCAGGGGTGGTGGTAAAAGAACAACAAATATATGTTATGGATTAATTAAACTCCTGGGTAAAATAGAGAGTATATCATATTTCTCCTAAGAGCATACTTCATCCCCTTTGTTGAAATTAAAAAAAAATAGACAAACATGATGCAAACATAAGCACATAGATTCACATTTATTAGTTCATGCATGATTGATTTAAAGTTCCTACTTCAGTTCTTATGAAAAAGAAGTTTTCTTTGAGAAGTGGTTTAGTAAAAATGTATGCAAGTTGATTATATGAGTCTATAAATTCAAGTACACATTTCACTTTTACAATATGATATCTAATAAAGTGGTGTCTAACGTCAACATGTTTAGCCCGAGAGTGAAGTATCAGGTTTTTGGTGAGGTTTATGACACTGATGTTGTCACATCTAAATGATTTGAGCACAACAACTTCTAACAGCAACATATTTTGCCTCAGTTGTGGATAGTGTTACACTAACTTGTTTCTTGCTTTGCCAAGAGACAAGCGAATTTTCAAATACAGGACACGTGTCACTGATACTTTTCCTATTTAGTCGGCACCCTAAAAAATCTGAGTCACACTCTTCTCCTTTGGAGTACCATAAACTAATTTGTTGTGTGTCGGTGAGATATCTCATGATGCGCTTGACAACACTGAGATGTGTTTCTTTTGGGGATGCTTAAAAGCGTGCACTCATACATACATCAAACATAATGTCAGGACGAGATGCAATTAGACAAAGAAGAGATTTAATCATACCTCAATATTTTCTTTCATCAACTAGTTTCCCGTCTTCATCTTTGTCTAGGGAGCTTGACGTTGACATTGGAGTTGCTAGTATGTTGGATTTTTCCATATCAAATTTGATTAGTAGCTCATTGCAATATTTAGCTTGGTTTATAAATGTTCTTTTTTTGTTTGATGAATTTGAACTCCTAGAAAGTACTTTAGCTCTCTCATCATGGACATTTCAAATTCGTTCTGCATTATTTTAGAAAATTCCTTGCACAAGAATTTGTTAGTTACACCAAATATGATATCATCAACATATATTTGAACAAGTAAAATGTCATATTTAGTTTTCTTGATAATGAGAGTTTTATCAGCTTTCCCTTTAGGAGCTTGTTTCAGACTATACATTACCTTCTTGTTTTAGACGATCATACCATGTTCTAGGAGCTTGTTTCAGACTATACATTACCTTCTTGAGCTTTTGATAACATGGTCAAGAAAGGTATGACTGATAAATCTAAGAGGTTGAATATAACCATTTAAAATTGCACTTTTTATACCCATTTAAAATAGCTTGAAATTCATGATGTAAGAGAAGGTTAATAACATCCTTATGACTTTTAGTCTAGCTATATGAGCTTAGGTTTTGTTGAAATCTATTCTATCCTTTTGATTATATTCTTTCACAATTACTCTAACTTTATTTCTTAAAACATTTCCTTCTTCATCTAATTTATTGTGAAAGACCCACCGAGTTCCTATTGTTATATTAGCTGAAGCTTTGGAACGGATTCCCAAATGTTGTTCCTTTCAAATTAATTTAACTTTAGTTGCATAGTAAGAGGTTAATGTTCATCGACTATGGCTTTGTCGATTTCCTTTGTCTCAATTTATAAAACAAAATCTACAAAGTCATATACCTTGTTAAGTGATCTTTTAGTGGTGATTCCTTTGGATGTCTCCAATAACATTTTGTATTGAATGATCTTTTGTTACTCTCCATTCTTTTAGGAGATTTGAATTTTCTGTGGAGTCATTGGGTTCTAATTTTCGACTGAATCTTCTTCTGTGACTTGATATGATTATTATTTTGCTCTTGGCTCGGTTCTTGATCATCTTCTAAAATTTTCTTTTCTAGGATATCTACATAGTCAACAATTTCTACTTCTACAGTTTAGGGGTTAGTTTTGTCAAAGATAACATGAATTGATTCTTCTGTTGTTTTGGTTTTTTTATTAAATATTCTATAAACTTTGACATAAGTGGAATATCCTATGAATATTCCTTCATTAGCTCTTGCATCGAATTTTTTAAGGTTATCTTTTTTGTTATTATGGATGAATCATTTGCATCTAAAAATATGGAGGTGAGAGATATTCAGCTTTCTTTTTTATATAGCTCATAGAGTGTCTATTTTAGAATTGATCGTATCAGGACACAATCTATTACATAGCAAGCAATATTTACAACATCCAATACAAATTCACTGAAGACGTTATGGGATGTGATTCAAGAAGAAGTTTATGAGCTAATATATTGGTCGTAACTATTTTATTAGTTAATCTTAATATTAGGGATTTAATGATAGAAATTAGACAAAATTATCAAGTAAAAATATATAAAGGATTCGAAAAACTCTGATATTTTTAATAAATAATTTTTTTTAAAAGTTATTTATTATTCTCATTTGCCAAATATATGTTTTTGCATATTCCCCTAATAAAGTTACATCATGTTAACTGAATTTATAATTCTCGAGTAGAAATCGGAACCAGTCCATACATATATGAATCTTATAAATTATGTTAATTGTGATAAAATTACTGTTCATTGTACAAAAAGAGACGTCATGTAGAGATGGGAATAAAATACATGAAAAAATTAAAAATAATTAAATTTATGATATTAATTAGAGTTAATATATTTTTAAGCCCTTTAAAATTATTAAAATTTTGTTTTTGTTTCAATAAATAAAAATTGTATTTTAGTCCCTACGAAATAATTATGTACGTAATTTTAATTTTTACCGTTAAATTAATGTGTATTTTTGAATAATTATTTTGTAAGTATATTTAAAACGTTATAAAAAAATTTTCGAAAAAAAATGAACTCAAAATTTGATTTATAAGTAAAAATTTTCATTACTTTTATTATTATCTTTTAAATTTTAAAAAATTCATATTTAATTCTTCTCATTTAAAAAAATTATATAATCTAGTAAAGAAACATTTCATTGTAATCTGAACACGTATGAAATAATTTATTCAAAAATTTAAAAATTTTGAAGTAATTAAATAGTTTTCAAAATTTTAAAAACCTATTTAACTCATCTTTCAAATATGATCCACATGCTTCATCAAAAGGATCCAAATACTTTGGAAACATGAAGGTCCTAAATTAATTGACTTGCTAGATAAATATCTCAAGGGTGCAATAGCTAATGTGTTTGCCACATTACATACCAAGGTCCTAAATTAATTGACTTGCTAGATAAATATCTCAAGGGTGCAATAGCTAATGTGTTTGCCACATTACATACCATTTTAAGATCAATTACCTTACCAAGGATCAAAATGTGTTTTTGAAGACAATCGTGAGAGTAAAAAAATGAATGAGGATGAAGGAGATGCAAATACTTTTGAAGTTTGATAAAGTACAAAAATAACAAAACACCAAGTTCTTACAAAAAGAGAAATATTTCAGAGAAAGGAGAGAAAATTGGGGCAATAGAGAAACTTCAATAATCCCTTGATCATGACTCGACGGGTTTAGCCACAGTCAACAAAGACTTCATGATATAACATTAGTTATTCAAAAGGTTTAAAATTGTTGGATGAAATTTATCCTT